AAAACACCCCAAAAAATCGCAACAGAAAAATCACAGTTGAAACTATTAACCACTTTGGGGAGAGCGGTCACTACAATGGACAGCTTATCATGTTATTAGGTTACAGCACAGGTGTCAAAGTCAAGACCCGGGGGCCAGATCTGGCCCACCACATCATTTTATGTGGCCCACAAAAGCATTTCAAGGGTTACAAGGTGCATGGAAGCGTTAATCGGATAAAATATATGAAAACAATATTATCTGTACACATTACTGGAGCTGTTGAGACAGAGAAAGAATAAAGTGGCGCTTCATTTTAATTGACCATTTAATTAACCTGACCCAGTAAGCATGGGACGCTAAATAGGCCGCGTCATTTTTGTTATCAAGCTTTTGTGATTTGTGAATCCAAAAATCAGTTCTGCTCTGGGACTATTATTAGTTACCCGTTTTATTTTTATTGGTGAGAGTTGGGTTGATTTGGCGTTGTAGTGAATCGAACACTTGGTTGTCGTCATGGAAATCAGATTTTTCATTCGACGTGATTGAAGTTAAAGATCAATAGTTCTTCTTTGTCAAAGTAACTTGGTTGTCGTCATGGAAATCAGATTTTTCATTCAAGACGTGATTGAAGTTAAAGATCAATAGTTCTGCTTTGTCAAAGATTTTACATCTTTGCTCTGATACACATCTTAGAGCAGTAGTCCCCAACCTTTTTTGCCCCACAGACCGGTTTATTGTCCGACAATATTTTCAGGGACCGGCTTTGAAGGTGTGACAGATAAATCCAACAAAATAAAATGATATGACCTGCATGAAAAGTGTGGTGTTTTCGAAACATAATAATAAACATGAATCATGACAAAAGGAACGTCCTATCTGGCCGCAACACTCTCCGGTCGCGATGGTAACATTTAAACCTGCCTTCAAAATCAGATACAGAGTGCATGAAAATAACGACTCACCGTCGCCGCATATTATGAAGAGTGGGCTTGATGCGTGGCAATCTCCTTTTGAGATCAATCCGTATTTTAAGTAGGAAATCCTAATTCTGTCTATTAAATGCAGCCTTCTTTTTCTTGAAAGTCGTTGGCTCCTCTGCTGTCTCCTGGCTGGGCCTTTTCCCCTTCCCAAAGAAACTTTCCAAAGACATTTATTTTTTGCTCATTTTGCTACCTCGCGGGTTTCATTTCACTTGACCTGCGTCAAGAGTGACACACTGTTGACGGATGTAACGGAGAATTCGGTAAATTTTCAAAATAAAACATCTTTCAGATTCCGAAATGAATAAAACGGAAGTAATTTAAATGATTTATTCTTTCTGTGTGGCCCGGTACCAAACGACCCACGGACCAGTACCGGTCTGCAGCCCGGGGGTTGGGGACCCCTGTCTTAGAGGGTGGCATTTTTTTTTTTTTTGATCCCACTCTTTTTATCAGTTAGAAAAAGTACTGCTCCATGAAACTGATGTTGGGACTGATGAAGAAAATCAATCCGTACCATTGCCTAAATCTGGGGCGTTATTCACGAGTAATGATGTAGAAATGTTCGTGATCCGCGCACAAGTTGAGCGTACAGTATATGCAAAACCACCGTTGAATTCACAACACGTGCATATCTCGATGCACCACTGTGCGTCAATTGCCTGGCTATTTAGTTGTCACCTGACCTCAACACTATTGAGAATCTGGAGGCCACACTTCAAAGGGAGGCCATTGTGGTTAAACAGCAGTCCATCTTCAGACTATATGAAAGACTAAAAATATTTATGTACTTAAAATCCAAGGATACACTGCAATACCCGACACAGATCAATTGCAAACCGCGTCTTTCCTCCACTGCACTGGCTTTTTCATTATTTGGAAAGGGAGTTAGCACAGTTCCATTCCATATTCAAAATATTTTGCTGATTCTGACATTGAGAGTCAATAACTCAGAAGTGAAGCATTGTTGAATAACTCATCTCGCCAACCACAATGACAGCCAGCCGACGCCTCATTTGCATCAAAATGAGATGTCCTCGAAAGCAAATAGATAACATTTGTGTCTGTGCAGCCAGCTGTAATGTCAGGCAAGGAGAAAAGGAGTGCTTGCACTGACAAGGAAGACGAGTCTTCTTCCAAACTTCATTCTGTTGGAGTGCAGCCGACAACGTGAACATGTCAAGATTTTGGACACGGGTTCTTTGTGGAAAAATTGGTTAGCAACGCTTCCTTGAAGCAAGAACGTTCTGGATTTGATTCCCGTATTATGAGTCACTCCAGAGTATAGGTCGCACCAGCCACGAAATTCATCAGAAAAAAAATATCGAAGTCGCACTGGAGTGTATAAGTCGCATTTTTTAAAATCAAAACACCGAGAACGTACATGTCATCTTGAAAGCTAATTTAAAATAAAAATAGAATAGAGAACAACAAGCTGAATAAGTGTACGATATGCTAACGTCACATGACGCATAAACAACGAACTGAGAATGTGCCTGGCATGTTCACGTAACATATTAATCGTTATTCAGATAGCATAAAGAACATGCTAACAAGTTTCTCAAACCATCAGTGTCACTCCAAATCACTAAATCCAACGAAATCTTCATCCTCTGTGTCACTTTTAAGCAACTCCGCCAACTTGGGGAGGAAGAAGATGCGGCGCTTCCTCTTCTACTTCGCTTACGTCAGACTCATCGCCGATTTATCAACACAGGACTAGAGCGCCCTCTTGTGGTTTAATGTGAAAATAACATGCGAAATCATGTAAAAATGCGTTAATAATTTCACGCATAAGTCGCACCCCCCGGCCAAACTATGAAAAAAACCTACGACTAATAGTCCGGAAAATACGGTAAATACAGATAACTGCTTTTACGATATGGATGTTCAACGTTGAAGCCGTATCGAAATTAGACGGTCGGGTGGATAATATTTGGATACTAAAGTTTGATGCCGCCAGTTTTATCGCAACCAAGAACAGCGCATGAGTTTGGAGATTGCTGGTCTGGGGTTGTATGCGTTTTTGTTCCTCAGGATAACCTAAAAACGACTTTACGACACAGGAAAAGCAATGGCGTGTTGAGTTCTGTTTGTCGTGAGCTTCACCCTTTGATATTGTGAGACCCAAGATGACTGAACAATTTCTCAAGCGTACCTCACCGTTGTTAGCCTAATGAGTCCAGAAGTTGAGTTCCACTGTGATTGTTTACGGAGTAGGTGTGGCCAGAGTACTTAAACTTCCTGTCCATTACCCAAAACTGTTTTCAAAATAAAAGGCACCTGGGATGCCCGATAAATATTTCACTGTGCAGTGGGGAGCCTACGGACTGTCATTTTTGTAAACTTCCTGTCACTTTGGGTCTTCACCCCAACAACTAAAAAAAAAAAAAAAAAATCGATTCTATTCAAAGATTATAAACTGAGTCTTTTTTTGCCTTTGTCTTCCCGCAGCCCCTCCAAAAAGAGGAATTTCTGTACTAATATTTTTTATCTTTGAAGAGAATAAGAGATAAATCACGGATATACACAAATATAACAATAAATGGCAATTTCATTTCAGGTTTATGGAGCGCAAATTCAGAACCGGCATTCGTACTTCCAACATGATGAACTGCAACCAACTATGTATCTACAGTGTATACACATTTTTTTTTTCTTTTCAAAATACAAAGCGATCCACAGAGCCTATTGATCTGGAATTAACCGTTCAGTAGAACATGCAGCATTCTCTCCCCGTGCTTGTGTGGTCCGCGTTGTACTTTCACGAGTATGGAAAATTAATAGATGGTCCACATGACCATTATCAGATCATCAGATTATCTTTATAGGTTAAAAAAAATGCATGACTCACATGATGTTTCTGTGTAGTTTATCATTCGATTGTTTTTAAATATGTTCTCTAAATTAAGTGAGTTGTAAGCTGCAAAACTTCTACTCTCTACTAACTATCAGGCACACTGTCGGCTTTTGAGAAAATTTTTGGTGCGCCTTGAAGTGCGGAAAATACGGAAATAGAATATCAGTTACTCTCTTTGTTGTCGTTCACATCCTCTTCAAGCTGTCATTTTTTTTTTTTGCAATGTTTCGGTCCAAGCTAGGTTTGAACTTATCGTGCAGCGTCTGGCAGGTGCTCCAAGTGGAAGAAAGATTATTCAGGCTGTTTTGGTGGATTAATACATCTTCAAAATTCCAAGCTTGAGTGAGCAACTTACTAAGTTACTAAGTAACTTATGGATAAATTAGTTGAACGTTTTTATTTCTTTATTTATTTTTGGGCATGAAGAGAAAAACTCTTACCTGGCTGAGTTTCGGCTGTCGCTTCAGCCTTCAATGGAGCTGTCAAAAGTCCTTAAAAAAAACAAACAAAAAAAAAAAAACAACAAACAAAAACAACGACATGCCACCGGGAAGTATTGACAGCTCCGATGAAGGCTGAAGCAACAGCCGAAACTGTCAACCAGGTAAGAGTTTTTTTTTTCCCCTTCACCCCAAATCAATCAATCAATCAATCAATAAATAAATAAATTGTGTGGAGAAAAGAAACTTTGAACTAGAATATGAAGCTATTTTTCATATTTACATGTACATGTATTTATTTATTTTGACGTATCCGTTTTTTTTTTTTTTAATTGAAATAGCCTCAGTCTTGCCTTTATTTGTATGTGAAGTACTTTTTTTTGTTTGTTTTTTGTATTTTAAATGTACATATTTTTGTCAGCGCCAGATGATTTCAATATGCTTCGTTAAAACATTAAGAGAAGAAGAAGAAGAAAAAACAGCGCAGCGGTAGCGCGCCGTACTTCTTCTCTACTTTGTCTCGATCGATCTCACCACTGCCATCTGTCAAATCTTCGTGGTACTTTTCCGGATATCTTACATATCCCAATAGTTATGAAGTTTGTTGTGTAAGTTTTGAAAGTGTTTCTCTTGTTTCTTTTGACACGAGGAAAGGAAAAACACAGTTATGTAAATAGTGCTGTCAGATTGTCTCTTTATACTAAATGCATACTCTGTTTTGTTTTATTTTTTTCCCAGGTGGAAAGATGGTGCCGTTCCTTCTTTTCTTCTTTGCTGCCTCGCCCTTACTCAGCGCATCTGCACACAATACATCTGCTGGTAATGACGACGCTGCTCCGGCGTTTCTTTGGAACGATGTCTCAGGTTGTGCGGAGGAAGCAGTTGTCACTGCGACAGTTTTGGTTTGGACATTTTGAACGATTTCAAGGTCTTCATAGATTGGGATTGAAAAGGAGCTTGAATTTCCGAGTATCGTGTGGCTATTTGGACCTCAAGTAGCCATTGTGATTCTTCCGGACAAGCTCCAAACGTAATGCGATAATGGTCTGTTCTGGCGTTTCAAAAATGTTTACATGGGCAGTAAAGATTGCCAGCACCGCTGTGCGCTCCTGGTTTGCACCTGGCTTTCAGACGCTGCATTTAAGAACGCAAAGTCAGCCGTCGCAGTTCATCTCCGGTTAGATAAATCGCATTGAGCGTGCTAAGCGAATGTATTTATTTTCAGAAATATTGCCTGTTTGGGACACGCAATCCTGGGTGCCGCCTGATTTGTAGATGAGCTTTGAGGTGTATTTGCATGCGCAGTCAAATTTGGGTTAAGGATTAAATATTGAATTTCAAAATAAAATGACCTAAAGTCAGACTCTGCGGATCCTTATTTAAAAAAAAAACTAAAATTCAAAATTCAACTATTATGGACATTGAAAGATACTTCTATCATGATTTTTCAGCCATATCGCCGAGCCCTAACTCCATCTCGAATGCATTCTTCATTCGACTTGTTGTAATACAGTGAAACTCTACAATGAAATCATGTTTGCAGCAAGACATTTTTCACAACAGGGGACTTTTCACTGTAGCAGATTTTATCTCACATGTAAACACGAACACACACAAAAAAACGTTTGTGTACTTTTAATTTTTATTCCAATAATGCATAAGTATGAGCATACTTATTTGACGCTTCATATAGCCAGCCTAGAAAGAAAAAAAGGGAAAGAAATTGCGAAATTTACGATCAGCATTCACTTTCACTTACATCAATTTCTTGCATGTCTTTTATTTTGCTTCCTCCATCTTTCATTTTGATTACCTTTATCCTGTCTTCAAGCGTTAAAGCTTTTCTTTTCTTAACTCCTTGGTATGCAAAGGTCCGTTTTGTCGCCATTTTAGCAATGCAATGTTTGTCCTGCGTCTGAAACAAATACTTCCTGTACTACTGTGCATGTGTAAACCAGTGTGGTGATTGCTGTTGCCATTTCCGAACGAAGCAGTAGAGTCCACTGTTGGATTAGACTCCGTTGTAGTGAATCTCGTTGCGAGGCAAGAGCAGAGAAAAAGATTTCGTATAACGGAACAGGGGGACTTTTCGTTGTAGGCGGAGTAGAAAAGGGGCTTTCATGCAAGAATTTTTTTTCACACTAGGGGGTATTTTCACCCACGTAGGTTTCGTTGTAGAGGAGTTTCACTGAACCCCTTGTTGGGTCCGGTCTATCTTTTGGCACGTGTCACCAAAAAGCCAAATAAAAAGCACATTGATTAGATGACCATTATTATATACGTTGATACTGCCTGAACTGAGCTCTTGTGAAATATGCCTTGTGTGACATGCTAACATTTTCCGTGATATCATGCATGACGACGATACATTTTAACGAACAGCCAGTGGTGGGAGAAGTTCTCACACAGTGTACTTGAGTCTGAATACTTTTTTTTTTTTCTTAAAGAGCGATCGAGCATTGTTGCAACTTTTCTGTTCTCAAAACATATTCTGATAACTTTGGTAACTGAACTGTCGAACAAAAATGCTAAATTATTCAATCCTAACTTAATAAATACATATTTGTATTTTTTTTCTTATATTAGACAAATTTCTGAACACCAGGTGGGTTTTCGGATGGCAACTCATTTTGTATGAATCATTGTTGTAGCCAGCAACTTCTTTGAATCTTACTTCGGGCCATGGATGGGGAATATCTTGCTTCTCCGAGTCTCTCGCGTACTACTTGGTTCACATTCCATGTTGCTTCTGTCCTTGGTGTTGTCTGCCTAATACAGTGCTGTAAAAAAAAAAAGTTCCACCCTTTTCTGCATTTTTATCAACTTCATAAACCATCCCACCTCCAGCTCTGTCTCCTGTCTCCTCTGTCTTCTGCTCATTACTAGTCCAACATGGCTGTTCTAACGACCACTTTCCTGTCACGGATCACCCCGGACCTTTCTCCCCACCCCTTGTACTCTCTTCTTTCGCCTCTCTTCCAAATTGCCCCGCTGTGAACACTTAATCCTAATGTACTTGACCTCTTGCACCTTTTCCACGACTCCTCTGTGTAATCTCAGCCTTCCACCAGCCCTCCCTTTATTCCCACACGTTGTCCATCTTGCCACGACGACGCTTCATTGCTCGCTCTGCCGTAAATACCTCCACCTCTCTTTTCCACCTGCTCCCTTCCTCTCACTGCAGTCTGCAGATCATGTGATCTGCGAGCGTCAGCGTCCGCAGAGACTCCCTGTATAGTGGCGCGCCAAATTGGGATGGGAATTTCATCAGAATCTGGCGATTCCGATTCCGTATTTGATAGTGCGTATCTCTCGGGCTCTTTAGCAGTTCTCCTATAGATTCTTGTTGGCTCTGGGAGTAAAGTAATACAAGTGATGTAGGACAACACTGATGTCATTACCGTTATATAGAATACAAACTGTTCCCGCCTCGTGCTTGTGGTGTCGCAAGATAGGAATACAGAAGGCCCGGTATGCTTCATCAATGCAGCTGTTATCATGAGGTGAAATATCTTGGGCAAATTGGTCTGTGATGAGGCTCAATAGTTCCCAATTGGCCTTGCGAGACTTTATGTACACCGTATTTTCCGCACTATAAGGCGCACCTAAAAGCATTCAATTTTCTCCAAAGCCCACAGTGCACCCTATAATCCGATGCGCCTTATATACGGTGTTAGTCTCCATATAGTCCCCATTGAGTTGTTTCCCTGTTCGTGTTCCTACGCCATCTCGTGGTGATTATTAGCAGGAACCAATTGTAACCAAAAAGGAATCTGCCCGACACGAACTGACGTGCGTTCGCCAACACAGCTCTGTGCAGCCACGATGAAACCTAAGATAATACGAAAAGCATAGTTAAGTACTGACCAAACGAAGGAAGGAGGAGACAAGCAAGACTTGGAAGGATATTTCGCCCCTTGTGGATGTCAGCCCACGAGGTTTGTGTGCCTTTTCGTTTCATCTCATCAATTTTCTTGACAACTTTTGTCTGTAATTTATTGTTTTGTTCTTCCATTTGCATTTATGTTTCATGTCCGTTTTTGTCACCATGGCTTTGTTACAGCTGCAGCGGTTGTGAAGTCTCTATATAAATAAAGCTGTATTGTTTGCGTAGCACCATCTCGTGAATGCAGAGCAAAACCGCAGCCACTATTGTAGCTTCTATTCGATGCGCCTTATGTCAGTGTGCTCCATATATAAGAAAACTGTTTTAAAATAGGACATTGTCGAAGGTGTGCCTTATAATCCGAAGTGCCTCATAGTGCAGAAAATACGGGATATAAATAATGTACGTGTATATATATTCAGTATCCATCCGTTTTCCAATCCGCTTTATCCACACAAGGGTCACAGGGGGTGCCGGAGCCTATCCCAGCTGTCTTCGGGCAGTAGGCGGGGGACACCCTGAACCGGTCGCCAGCCAATCGCAGACATATATTCAGTCAAATGCCAACAAATGTTACTCAGCATTTCACAAACAATGGTGTTTGTCGAGCCGCTCACGCCTCAGTGTAGCATCACTGACGTGTGAAGTTGAGCTCGTTTTTGCATTTGATGAACTTGTATCATTCATTATGCGATGCGCGCGTGTGGATGTGCGCCAAGACACACCTGAACGATTTATGTAATCTGCTTCAATCACATCGGTGTGATTAGTCTCACAAATATAGCTGAGTTATTGCGTTAGATGCATTATGTTGACACGGCGCGCTGTTACGCTGCCGCACTGTTATTTATTTTTTATTTTTTTTGTCGTCATGACAGCCTTGTATATAACCTGCGATTCTTCAAACATGTTCACTGATTGCAAATCGTTTACATCTGCAGCAAAATGCATCCAAGAATCAATTCATTCTCTCAGCCACATGTTTGGATGTAAAATGTTGACCTCATGTGGAAAAAAAATATATCTAACATGCAGTGAATTCCTGTTTTTAAAACTCATCAAAACTGTAAATCATTTCAACCTGATAAACAACTTTCAGATCTGTTATTATACATTACATTCATGCTCATAATGAGGGTATGTAAACCTCTGACCACCTTTTTGTAAGGGTGGCCTCTTTTAATTTATACGGCATATACGGTACTTAAGTAGCTACGACGCCGATACTGGATGCTATTTTTTTTTCTAACTCTGACAGGTCAAAAACATTTCACACTGAATGGTTTAAAAGCAATTAAGTGGTTGTTTCTGTACGTCCGCTCGGTTTCGTTTCTTTTTAGCATTCCGCAGTTGAGGTCTCGAGACCTTTCCATCTGTTGCGTCAGTCCGACTCTTAGCATGAAACTCGTCGGACTACTCTTGGGACTTGTCGTGGTCGAGGGCCATTCCCCCCACCTGTGTCGAAAATAGAAATCCTAACTCGCACCTAACAGGAGATGGGGAAGCTAATGAATATCGGCTGTAAACCCATCATGCTTATTATTATGACCATTCGCTTTTTCAGTTCAGAGTGAAGGCACTGATGCCGCACTAATACCCAGAGGCAGCTGTCCCATCCCTGTAATATACACACAAACCTGTTGTCAGATTAGAGCGCTGCCATTTCCTCTTTGTGCCGATCATCGGAGCCAAGGTGTTGGGGGGCGGCGGGGTGGGG